GGGTTCAAAAGGTGCAAAAAGCTTGCATTAGCCCGGAGTCGAACCGGGGGCTCAAAGATGGCAACTTTGAATTTTACCGCTAAACCACTAATGCTCTAAACCACTGGCATCCAAGAAGGACCTTTTCCGCGGTTCTAACCACTAAACTAGTTGTGATTTTCTTGAAACTTTAATTTGTACGGATTACTAATATATGACACACTAGATCACGTGACCAAACCCAAAATCAGGGAAAATTCCTATAAAGAGTGTTCAAAATGGGGAGTATATACGCTGATTTGAAGGAATGTATATCTGGTGTTAACATAACCACCTTTTCATCAAATGTTATCGCTTCGTAAATGACTTAATAGACCAACTGGTCATAGAAATTCAAATTATTCTGCCAAAATTAGCGTGCAAACCACGATATTACTGATATGAGTATTGGTTTTCGCAGCATACTTAGAAAAAAATTTATGGGTACCAGAAAAATTATAATGCGATGAGATGATCATATATACTTTTGACATTTAAAAGTTCAAATCGTTATTTTATTCTTGAGTACAAAAATGCCTTCAAAAAATTCTATTAATGTCGCAAAACAAACAGAAACTCAAGCTCGTAAAAGAGCTGCTTTAGCTAAGAAAAGAGCTGATAGAGCCAGAAAAGGATTAACAGCACCACCAAGAAGTGCAAATGATTCAAGATCAGGTAGACCAAAATCAACTGCTGTTGCTTTATATTCAGGTGCCCAACCAGTCGGTAGAGTTACTACTACTACTTTATCAAACAAGAGACTTCATAAAATTGAAAGAAACAAGAAATATGTTGCTAAAAGAAGAGAACTTGAAGATAAATTATTAATTGATGCTACAGCACAAGCTGAAGAACAAATGGATGTTGATGATGAAGAAAAACCAGCTAAAAAAGACAGTCAAGATACCAAAATAAATAGCGTCAAAGCTGCTTTATGGTCAGTTATTGAAGATAGTACCTCTGATTCTTTAGTTGTTGATTCAACTGGTGAAGGTACAACTTTAGGTGGTCCAAGCTTTTTTTAAATCTAAGTTTAGTATAACTTCGGATATTGTACATTAAAATAAAATTTCATACTTTTTTAAATTTGGTTCATTCTTATATAATTGATTTTTCAAATGGTTTGGTTACATATAATTGTATATCATGGGTTACATATTTTTTTTTTTAAAAATTAAATTTACGCATTTCTTTTAGTATATCATAAAACTATTTTGTATTAAAGTAAAAAAAACTGGGACGTATAGATAATAAATATTTGAAATATGGGCTTTCATTATTCTTCATATATACCTCTAGCTTTTAGTTGGACATCAACAGCATCTCTTAAGAATTTGATAGTTTCAGCTGGATCTGGAGCAGTGAAAACAGCAGTACCTGCAACGATAACGTTAGCACCAGCTTCAGCAGCAGCAGGAATTGTAGCTTTACCTAAACCACCATCAACTTGAATATCTAATTCTGGAAATTTGGCTCTTAATTGTTCAACTTTTGGCATCATATCTGGCATGAATTTTTGACCACCGAAACCTGGTTCAACAGTCATAACTAAAGCCATATCTAAAAATGGAGCAAGTTCAAATAGAACATCAACTGGTGTACCCGGTTTGATTGCACAAGCAGCTCTAATACCATGACTTTTAATTAATTTAACAAGACCTAATGGATCTTTTGTAGCTTCATAATGGAAAGTGAATTGATCTGCACCAACATTTTTAAATTCTTCAACCCATTTTTCTGGTTCAGCAACCATCATATGACAATCAAAAAAGGCTTTTGGTTTGGTAACACCATCACCTCTTGGGACAGCTTTTCTTAAACTTTCAACAATTGGTTGACCTAAAGTGATATTTGGGACAAAATGACCATCCATAACATCTATATGTAACCAATCAGCTTTGGCATTTAATACACGGTGACATTCACAACCCAAGTTTGAGAAGTCACTAGCTAAGATAGATGGAGCAATAATTGATTTAACCATTTTGTTTAAAGGTAATAGATCAAAAATAAGAGAAATAACCGTTTAAAAACTAAGATCGATTGAATATAACCAAAAATTTATTGATTTAGAAACTTCGGAGCACAAATTATCGTTCTTCTGATTGTCGCAATGATTAAAAAAATTCAATTGACACGAAATTCTGCCAAAAATTAAAAAAAATAAATCTCCCGGGTGTGAGTCGAACACACGATCTCAAGATGTCTTTGATCCATTACAGTCTTGCGCCTTAAACCAACTTGGCGACCGAGAGTTGTTTTTGTTTTTGATGGTCGAGTATGGTACTAAGTTATGACTTTCCCAAAATTTAACGGAATTCCGCATTTTTTGTTTTATCTAGCTCAAATATGAGTATATATATATTAAGAGTACCCTAATTAATGTCTTTGGAGTCTAAAATATACACCCATGTGCTGGTGATGAAGTTCTGCTTAATGGTGTTGATAAAATCTACATTAAATGTATCTGGATGGAATGCCGAACCTCAAGTTCAAATATCAGAAGTTGATATCAACAACTT